CAAATTGTTATATTAAATAAATCAAAAATCAAAAAATTATGGAATTCTTACCTGAAGCTTCGCTTGGCCATGAAGAGAAGATTTATGATGACTTTAACCAAGAATCCAGCATTGATGTTGAACAAATGATGGCGTATAATGAGGGAGTTCTCACATTTGATTGGCATTCATTTAAGAGAGCATGAGAAATAACTACCAGATATACTGAGGAAACAGATGATGAATTCATCGAAAGTGATAATAAGATGGAAATATTTGAGGAGGAATTTGAAAGGATCATTCCTTCTCTTGCGGATCATGCTATTAAACTAATACATTATGTTATTATTGACAATGACAATAATCAACACATAATCCAAAGGTACAATAATACAGGAGTTCATGATGTGAGACAACTTTCTGGTATGTGGGAGGTTGACTCTAAGACTATGCAAGAAGTTAGAAATGAGATTTCAAAGCTGGATATTTGTTTGCGTCATCTCAACTATGATCAAAATACTGTACACAAATCTGAGTTAGGAAGATGCATAAAGGTAGTATGAATAACTGAAGAAAGCATTATTACATCACGCTGCTGTTTATTTTGCAAGAAACTTTGATGCTTTTTTACAAGAGGTAAAACATATTCAATACATGCATAGAAAGTGTATGAATGCATAATTCAAGCTCCATGTCATGAATTATTTAACTATCTAGCAATAACTTCATATGATAGATTGTCAACTAAGTCATTTACTGATAACCACACTCGTTTTATTTGCACAAACTGCTTTGTAATACATAGAGATCATCTATATATTTAGCTAGGCAAAGGAAAATGGTCAGTTTTATGCTTAGAACAAGGGCAATATGATACTGATACTATCTTTGCTTTGAAGTTATTTGGTAAATGAATTGAACAAACCACTATATCAAATAATGAAACCATTAAAGTTAGTTTACTAAAAGAGCTTGTCAATGTTCTTGATAATCTTACCATAAATATATCTGAGATACAGAATACCATTGGCACGTCTTCTATCATTTCCATAATTTCAAGTCTTTTTTTAATCAAAATAGCATTTGCTATCAAAAAAATTGATATTAATGAAGAAGCACAAGCAACGTAATTGAAAATCACTACATGCAAGAACTTTGAAAAAATACTTGCCCACTCTGTATTATAAGCATGATCAGAACTCAAGCAGAAATTATTATCACTCAAAGAATCAAAATCCCTGGATAAATACTATAATGCTATGCTATCGTCCCTTCTAAATCTTTTTGTTGGTTTATTTTCGGTTCTAGAAGAAAAGAGGAATCAGATATTAAATAAAAAATGAAAGGAGAGAAACTTACCTTTATTACAATTAAATGAAAAAAAAACCAAAGTCTTACCTCTCTTTTTCACTTCTATTTTACTTACCGTTGCCTTTCACCATTAGAAAATATGATTTACACATGTTCTTTCTTCTCTTTGTCGATGACCAAAAATAATAGGATCTTTGCACAAAATTCTTCACGCAGTTCAGGTAGTATCATATGTTAGAAATCATGAAGTACATGTTCAAAAAAAAAGAATGTTAGCTGCAGAACCTTGGTCAAGGCTCAACTTGTATCCAAATATTTGAAATCTTGCAGTTATCGATAATATCGATATGAAAGATAATACTTTTCAATATGGTAATATTTTTGATACAACTTGTGGTACTACACATGCAATATTGCAAATAGTTTTTCAGTTTCAATATTCAGCACTTGCCAATGTAAACAAAGAATTATTGGAAAATCCAAACCTATTTGATAGAAGTTCTATTATGAAAAAATAGCAAGAAAAAATTAATACCACCTTTGGCCAATTAATTAATGAAGGGCAGAAATTTGATATTGAACATCTTGATATAATTATTAAAAAACATATTAATTCAGTATTATTTATAGCGCCTTTAAATGTTGTGATTCTTGAGTCTGAAGAAGCTCCAAGTAAAAATGAGTACGTTCATCAGGCTATCAACATATTTCTTGAAGACTTTGGTTATATGAAGAATAGTATATTACATTTGATGTGTGATGAAGCAATTTATCATTGCATGAAAGATTATAAAAATAAAGAGCAAATGATGTATTGCATTCTAGGACAATGGCATACTAACAAGTCAATGTGCAGTGCACTAATTGCTATCTTTTCTGATTACAGACTTTTTGGACTTGCCGTATAGCTTGATGTTCAATTTCTCGACAGACTTGAACAAGTTACTAATTATCAGGTAATATTTTGAGTACTTGAACTCATTTGGATAGTGGTTGGAATTGCGATCCATCTATATATTCAGAAAGAAAATATTTCTATTAGTGATATCCTCACAATAAATAATAATCTGCTTAAAGTATGGTATAACTTTTACCAATGGGCAGGATACTTGAAATTATACAAGCTTGGTATTCGCATGGCAAACTTTGATCTGTAAATACATAGCTTGATGGCCTTCGCTCCTTTATTTCTTATAACAGAAAAAAGAAGATATGCTACGTCTGTGACACAATTTTTGTCAGATCTTCAAAGCAAGCCAGGATTTCTTCAAGCTCTTTGGGTGGTGCCTTCAATCAACTTGATACGTGAGGAGTATTATTTTATCTTTGACGAGACTCTGAAAACATTCAGAGTGAAGTTTATAAAGAAAAATATGACTGAATAGATGACTAATTCAGAGAATCTAAAGCAAAATATTAAAGTGACACAAGCGGAGTATAACTGACTTAACTTGTTGATTTCAGAATTTGCTAGAGATCGGTCAGTAAGCAGAAGTTCACAGTCTGTTAAGGATCGTCAAGAAACTCTTTGGAAATTAATTACTGAACTCAAAGTAGGATTTAGCAGCTCACAGCCAGAATCATACCCCTTATTTGCAGAAGCTACACAATTGATAGATGTTGATTTCCAACAAATATTTACTTGCTATGAATCAGGAATCAAAAGAATAACTATCATTATTGAGCAAGATATTTATCATACTATTCTCCAAGTGAAAGCAGGACGAGGTAGATGGGATCTGATGCCTATGAAGCTGACAAAGAAGAAGAAAACTGACCGCATATCAGAAATAAGGGTAAAAATAGGAGATAGCAGTTCTGTGCAAGTTCCAAAACTAATTAATATGGAAGTTGAAGAAATCAATCCAGAATTAATTAATATGGAAGTTGAAAAAATCAATAAAAAAGACTTGCAATCAATATCATTATCTGAAATCAGTCTGTCTTCTGGATCTATACTTCAAACATCACGTCCAACAAAATACAAATCCACAGCAGTTGAAGAACAATATCTGAAACAGCTTGAAGTATATAAAGACTCCACTATATTACCCAGAGAAGTTGTCAATAAGCTGGTGGAAAAGTTATCACAATATACTGATTATTGGATACCAAAGCAAGTTCAAGATTGATGGTATAACTGATATAAGAGATCAAAAAAGGTATATATAAATATATTTTGGGATGAATATTATGTTAGAATCTATACAATCCAAAGTAAATTATCATTATAACTTCTATATTACCTTCTTTTTATTCAGTTAAATCTTGAAGTATCGGCTAAGGATAATTAGCATTTGTCTAATCGGATAAGGAATTTTAAATCTTGCATATATTTTGACTCATGTTTGACTGAATAGATATGTTCTAATAATCATAAAAAAAAATTTTTGTTAATTAAAAGAAATATTATCATCTATACTATACCATGAAATAGCTTTTCTTTCATATGTTTATAATGTACTAACCCCTTGAGATAAAACTTTGTAGATGGTTATTATTTGGGCATGTCTGGTGAATCACTTTTTATGACAAGAATTTATGAGCTAAAGAATAATCTAGCAAAAATAGGCAAAATGAACACTAATTTCAAAGACGTTTCACTTTATAAGGAGACATTAGTTTTTTGTGATCTTTGCACTGCTCTGTTCATAAAAACCTCAACAATAATTTTGATTTAGAGAACTTTGTGTGTTTTGACTAAGATTTTAGACAAAAAATTCACATGTATGATTAATCAATTTTTTAAATCGATTAACATAATATATTTAATTTTTATGTATGACAAATCGTCTGACTGATATATATATTTAGGAATTTTTATGAGAATTTATAAGTATAACATTAAAGCTTGATTTATTGAAGTTTGAAAATTGAAATAGATATTAAGAAAACAAGTAAGTGTTAATAATATTTTGCAGTTCTCATTGCCGACTTCCCAATTATCGAAGATAACTATTCAAAATTATACATTTCAATAATAGTTGTATTGGTAAAGTCGCATTCATCCAAATTCTTCCCAAGTGATCATAACAGAGTAACTATAGCATCCCAATTAAATATTCAACCATAACAGTTAAGAAAAAGTAATCCATTTTCATGTTCTCCGATGATTATGATATGATTGAAGCTATACATTTTAATATACTTCGAATAGAAATCAATACTTGATTCTTTGTTTATGAGCTCATACAAAACAGATTTTGCAATACGACAGATATCAGATTCATTCTTGAACTTTTCCACTACCATGAGCAAATTCTTGTCACACCCATGAGGTTCATCCTCTCTGCTACCTTCTGACACTTGATGCACGGAGGCTTGGACTCTATCTGTGATAAAAATAGTGTTCGGCTATATAAAATAGCATGGTGTCATTGGCTCCTCCGTTGTCCAGCTAGTACATGCCAAGATATCAATTTGGAGCAGTTGCCCCAAGAATGTTAATATTTTTTCGATTGCTCCACTGTTAGAACAGCTTTTTTGTGACACCACTTTAACATTAACATCATTTTCACTCTCGATTCTATTACCTGGTTCCTGCTGTTGGGTGTTGGACTGCGGAGGGACACCCCGAACAGGTATATGTATTGATTCATTATTATTCTTTTGCATGATTTTTTTCCCCTTTTTTTTCATCTTGGACTTTTTCTTCACCATTTTTTCTTCCTTTTCAGAGTTGAAAATATGAGGTTTATTGTCCTTGGGAGCGTCACTGGGTTCGGTTCCATTAACACCACCTTCTCTCCCAAGAGTTCTAGCATCTCGGCCAGATAAGTCGGTGTCATTTTCCTTTTTTTGATATGGGATCTCCATAGTAGGGCTATAGCGTCCCAATATGTGTTTATGGGGATTGGGTGAAAACCAGGTCGAGTCACCAACTTGCCCGTGTGGATAACTATTTGCTGAGTTCTTTATAAAATAGAATGTGTTTAATATGATTAATACGTTGGAGGATTTTTTCCATGCAAAAAAACAGACCTGAAAGATTCCACGAACTCTGCTATTATTTCTCTCTGCCATGGTTTTGAAAAGAGTGTATAAAAATGGTTAAGTGAAGTTCTCGAAACAAGCTATTTGGTGCACGACGACCTACTTTTGGTTGTTCCGGGTCCCGGCCACTATCAGGATATAAGAGATATGGTTACACAATAATGACATTTAGGTGATCGGTCTACGCAATTATGACACATTAATGTGTCGGATCAGATCAGCCATTTATCAAATGGTAAGATGATTCATATTATCTTCTGATACATGTGACGCTCTTAAAAAAGGTTTAGAATCATGTGAATACCTCCGCATTATTTAAATTCGATATACTATGCGAGTTGCTAGATAGGTTATCTTATTTAAACAAATCTGCACCTTATATAAAAGTTGTTAACAAACATGTTATCAGAGCTTGAATCTCAATCCAAAATCGATTCGTTGCAAGAATTAAATTCTCAACTCATTGCCACGATTGCTGAGCTTAGAAAGGAGAATGCCAAGATTCCCGAACTTGAAAAGAAATTTGCTGAGATTAAATCTGAAAATATGAAACTGAAGCAGATTATTGAGGAGAATGTAAAGCGTGATGTTAGAGTCGAGGAATTAGAGCAAAAGAATAAAGAGCTTGAGGCTAGGCTTGCAGTAGTGGAACAGAGTTCTGTAGTAGTGGATGGACAACCACAGAATGACTCACGGAGTGAGGTTGCTAATGCATCTAAGGAAGCGATACCAGAGGTAGTGTCTGCTGTTATCGTACCCGATTCTCAAGTAGTTCGGCTCGAACATTATAAGCCTGATTGTAAAATAAATGATGCGGTTCCTTCTGCCGATTCCAAGACATCGAAAGATAAGGAGATCGATGAATTCCTGGATTCAAAGCATAAGAAAAAGGTTAGTAAGGAGATAATTCAAAATATTAAGGAGAAGAAGCTTCGGGATCAAGAGTTACTCTCAACTCCTGAGAATAATATTACTAATATTTCGCGTGAGCAAGGTTTAATACAAGAAATATCGTCATCTATCAAAGATCCAAATTGTGATAATTCCGAAATTTCAGCGAACAATGTTCGTCCAAATTGTGATAATTCTGAAATAACTCGAGACTTTGAGACCCAGGATATTATCTGTCTATATCAAAATGCATGTGTTGCGGAAAAAGATGCAATCGAAGCTAATCAAAATGAAATATCATGTTGGTGTTTGTATGCTAAAAGGTTCAAAGGCATGGTTAAAGATTTTATGATCAATGATGAAATTGGGGAGAAAAAAGCAAAGGGTCGAGTATACGATTTTATTATCAAGCAACTCCCTGCCACCAAGCGTGGAAATTTGTGTAAGTAAACGCAAAAGGCTCTAAGGATTGACAATTTATTCGAAAAAATAGGAATGGGTAAAGTTCAATATATCAAAACTTATAGCGCAGATACTATTTCAAGATTTACTAATTTACAGATTCAAACGATTATAGACCACTTCACCAAAAAGCCTGATATAGAATATACCGATGATCAGGACAATTCTTCAGATGATTTACCCGAAGCTGAGTTAAGTGAGGAAGCCAAGAAAACTTTACCGGAAACTGAGATAAGTGTATTGCCTGAGAAAGTATTACCAGAAATCGAGATATTAGAAGACACAAAAGCCAATGATAGTAAACCACAATCTTTAATTACTGCTTTATCCGACGATGAGCCAGAAAATTTCTCCGATGACGATGATTCCTTCAATAACAACGAAGATGATGGGGGGGGTTCTGTGGTTTTTCTGATGACGATGATGAAAGTTATTATTATGATTTCAATACCGGTAAAACTTATACAAAATCAGAACATCGTCATTCAATCCGCGCATATTAGATACAGAATATCCTGCTTCGCAGACAATAGACATTTTATAAACGATGCATTTATACCGATGTATCCAGCATCTGTGCTTATATATTTTATTGTTACAATAAAGCTAATTTATTTTTATTTTTTTCTTGGTATTTTTTGACGAACATTTGTTCTCTGAAATTTTGCCACGTGTATTTTCCACAATCGATACGCGATTATGCTACGAAAAGTCAATATCTAATTT